CCTAGTTTAAATCCCCATTTTGCTAGAGTTTGCAGCTGCAAGTCCTCAGTATTCCAGCAAAGCACATCAGTAGGAATGATAAGAACTCACAGGTGGGTAATTTTAAAAGCACTGTTTTTTCAGAGATCCCTAAGAATTTCTTCACCATGTCACTCAGCATGCTTTCTACATCTGCAAGTATCGCCTCTCAGTATAAATCTGCACGTATATTTCTGTGCTACTGCGAACTCTGTGATAAGGAGAGGAGCTACTTCAAAACTGGCTACTGACTTGAAGGTACAAGAGCACATCATCAGGGATTCCCACTGAGTTAGTCTTGTCCTCACATGTATGCGGGGAAAAAAGGATAATGAGGTACAGCCCAGTCCTATACATTATTCTAGCATGTTTCAAAACATATTACTTAAGTTTAAGTAAGTAGTAAATAACTGAACTAAAGCACAGAAGATTGCCTTCATATTGAAGACTGACTACCAGATATTTCAGTTGCTCACAAATTAATTAAACTTAAAACCTTCTCGGCATTTCTGAATAAATAAATAAATAAATAAATAATCAGGAAGTGCTTATTTCTCCTTATTTCTGTTTTTTACTTTCAATGTAAAGGGAACTTGCATATTGATGGATGGCCATATTGTAGATGGCTGTAGGCCATCTGCAGATATATCAATTAAATTAATGTTACTCATTCCTGAACAACCAAATTGTATTTTTCTCTTCATCAAGAAGGCAGAATAAAGCTGCAGAACAGTGTTTAAAGTACTTTTTAATTGTTCTTTTAAAATGCTGAGTTCCAAATGATGGTCATAACTCAAAGCAAATCTTAGATTTTTTGGATAGCATTCTTTAATTTTATTTGAAAAATGTTCTGCAGAACGAACCATCTGAACAACAGACCAGTTACTGACTCTCTTAGTGCTAGAGTTAAAATTAAGTATTGTCTGCCAAGATTTCTTGTGAGGAAGACTTTGTAAGAAATAATTCTCTGTCTAATTATATGTCTACAAAAGAAATATAAACATTCTTGTTCTATTTTATGAAGCTGATTTATTTATTGATTCACAATCTTGCCCTTTCTATAAAGTACCAGTTGATTTACTTTGCTATCGAAAGAGGTGATTGCTTTCAAGAACGATTTGTGTCTTGGTAAATTTCACCTTAAAAAAAAAAATACATTAAAAAATTCCTTTATAGGTTTCATAGATTTCCACTCCGAATCTATATTATGTTCTGTCAGAGACTGTTTTGTAACTTGATGCAGTGTAAAACATAAGGAAGAGTTAAGACTCTCATTCATTTTTTCTGAATTGTTCTGTAATTGAACTATAGGTTTCAGCACTTGCATATACGAGTTGGCAAAATGGTTCAAATAATCACTTTATTTTACTCCTTTAGTAAAAATAATATTGAAATACAACAGCAGTGTAAATAATACATAAGTAAAAATACCATTTAAAAGGTATACAAGCATGAACTGTACCAACCAGAGAAGATGCAGAAATTAATATTACTGTGTAGCTCCATTATAAACAGAAGTTCTAACAAACAACCTATTCACCTGTTCAAGTAAATGGAAAGCTGCATTCCCTGAGGGAGATACATTATAACTAAAGGAGCACAATTCCCATTCTGTGTTATTATTTCAAATAACAGAATTCTGCACAGCAACACTGCAGACATACAGTTTTTTGAAACTAATGATAATTTATATGTGGCCAAAAAGTTCCATCTTGAAATTTTGAGGAGCTGCTCAATATGAAAAATTACAAATTGAAAATAGGGAAAGGTAGGAAGAAAAATGTAATAAAATTTGAATATTTGTCTGTTTTGATCCTCCTACTTATGATTATAGAGACAATCTAACAGGGAAAACACTCTGAACAACTGCTCTTTTAAATTTAACAAGTGCCAGCAGCAATACTTGGGGTAAAAATAGTAAGATAGACAGAAAATGCCAAACTAAAAAGTCAAGTAGACACAGATTAAAATGCATTTATATGTGATCCCAATTCTATTTTACCATTAACAATGCTTTGATATTTTTTATAAAGTGATAGTTACATATGTAAAGCATCTGAGGATATATGGCATCCAAGATATACTCTTGCCAGACAGATTTGAAATGGTGAATGTGTAGCTGTTGAACACTTTCAAAGGGCTTTACTCAGCACTGAATTTGCACCTCTCGAGTGACAGAAGAGTCAGGAAATGGCTCCACATCTATGAATTTCACAGAGCTCAACAAGTCTTATACATTTTACAAGCTAACATTAAATATTTTCTTGAAATAAGCAGTTAACATTTTAAAAGTTTGTCTTGCTGTATTCTAAAGTCTTTGGCAAAAACAAACAAACATAACAACAACAACAACAAAAATCCACGAAATACTATCAGAAAGCCTGCTATGAACTGCTGCAGCTAACATTCATCCTTTTTTTTTTTATTATTATTTTTAATTATTTTTTTTATTTAAATACAACATACTCTTTTCTTTGCAATTACTCCTCTTGTTTAGAAAAGTCAGTCAATGCAGGTCTATGTTAAGATAACCTCAGTAGACAGCATCTTTTCTTCATTGTTTATTCTGTGTTTCTATCCTGTTCTTTTCAGAGAGGTGGAAATAAGAGATAAATTTATCCTTTTTTGGAGGTTTTATGAAGTCTACTTAACAGGCACAGATCAAACTACAAGGTTTGACTAGATAGGAAGGCAGAATGCAGCTGGAAACTTGCAGGTTACAAAGAGATTGAGAAGTGGCACTGAATAAAATAAAGCAGGCACAAAGCTAGAGATATGATCAAAAGTTTAGGGAACAAAGCAACTTAAAATGTCAGCCAGTTAACTGGAATTAAGCCTGTAAGAATGAAGTCATAGGGCAGGGGAAGGGAAGAAAATATTTCTCTTTTTTTGATTGCTCTTAGTTGTTTCAAATTTTCTATATCCAGAAAGATTAGTATTGTATTATTTATTCTATTTTTTTTTTTTTTTTTAACACTAAGCCTTATTCGAGGCTTTACTACTTTAAGTGTATTTTGGTCTGTAATTCACCAAAAATTACTATAGGTTGTAAAAAAAATCTGTAATGAAATAGGAAATCAGACTGTTTACAAAGGAGAAGGAAAAACACATACTTTTGGCTAATCCTGAATGCTTTTCATATTTATGTATCACAGAATCACAGAGTGGCAGAGTTGGAAGGGACCTCATTCATGATCCTCAAGAATCATGAATCTCCAACCCAGCTCCCACATGCAGGGCTAACAACCTCCCATTTAATGCTAGACCAGGCTGCCCAGGGCCCCATCCAATCAGGCCTTGAACACCTCCAGGGACAGGGCATCCATAACCTCTCTGGGCAGCCTTTTGCAGCACCTCACCACTCTCTCTGTAAAGAACTTCCCCCTGACATCCAACCCAAATCTTCTCTCCTTCAACTTAAAACCATTTTCCTTTGTCTTGCTGTTATCTATCCTTACAAAGAATTGATTCCCCTCCTGTTTGTAGGCTCCCTTTAGGTACTGAAAGGCTGCAATGAGGTCACCCCACAGCCTTCTTTTCTCCAGGCCGAACAAGCCCAGCTCCCTCAGCCTGTCTTTGTAGGGGAGATGCTCCAGTCCCCTGATCATCTTTGTGGCTCCTCTAGACCCTCTCCAGCAGCTCCCTGTCTTCCTTGTACTGGGGGCTCCAGACCTGGGCACAGTACTCCAGATATTTTTGGTCCAGGTGGGGCCTCACAAGAGCAGAGTAGAGAGGGACAATCACCTCCCTGTCCCTGCTGGCCACCTCTCTTCTGATGGAGCCCAGGATACCATTTGCTTTTCAAGCTGCAAGAGCACACTGCTGGCTCATGTTAAGTTTTTCATCCAACAGGACTGCCAGGTCCTTCTCTGCAGGGCTGCTTTCAAGGACCGCTCCTCCTGTTCTGTGTAAATGCCTGTATGCACACTATGTTTAAATTTTAGAATTCAGATGAAAGTGCTTTCTTATTCTGGTCAGCTATGTATTCCATCCACATTAAATTTAAAGACCATCAGCCAGCACAACATGCTAATCACAAAGTAGTCAGTTCTCTGTCACTTGAAGTTATACCAGTGTTTAATGTCTTAAAATAAAATTCTCCAATTAAAACATAAGCCATAGCATTGATATATAATTACTAATAAAACTCTCTTCACTGTGGTATGAAGAACAGTCTATATGGCCATTAGAGCTTACGGACTTAAAATTTAATATGTAAATAGGGTTATGAATAATGTCAGCAGTCAGTGAATTTAAAAGCAGTTTTGTCCCCTTGATCTCATTCTTCTTAGAACAGAAATCCCAGCGAGGCTGAGCAAATTTTCAATCAGGTCTTGTTGGAATCATTGGCCTGTTGAAAAACTGTGTATCCTATGTGGCATACTTTATCCTGGAAAGATCAGTCTGACAGAATAGGCAATGTGCTGTGTAACCTATGTGCCAGACTCAGGAACTGCACAGATGTATATCCCCATATTCCAATGCCCATTACCATGTAAGCAGGAAAAAGTTAGGTCAGTGACTCACAGTAATGTAATCCAATTCATGGTTACTTCAGAACATACCTGACGGTATGCTGTAGGCCCCAGCATTTTACTGAGACTGGCTTTCTTCAATAACATATTTTACATACTTGAATTAGAGATCTCAATTTCATTAGAGTGCTCCCACTTTCAGAGAAATGCTCCCTGAGAAGCTGTTAAGAGGGTTGTAAGGCAAGGTTAAGGACATATTGGGTGTTAATTTGATGCTGAAAGCTTTAGAGAATTCACTGCTTACTATATACATCGATTTTGGTGAATTTTGATAAAAAAAAATACTTAATTCTTCTGTAATTAACCAAGTATTCAAAGCACCATTTTTATAACATATATTATCAATAAACTTCTTGAAATATTGAAATATAGTTCAAAAACTTACATTTACTTTTAAAACTCAGTGTGACTAGTGACATTTATAAGTCTGTGTTAGTATTTTGGTACCTGTAAGTGATATGTTTGTGTTGCCACTTCTGTCCCGTTAATGCATATCGTTTCCGACGGATGTTAAATTTAGAGTTGCCTCTTGTTTGGTCAGGCACACCACATCGAGGCTTCTTCATCCAGCTGCAAGAAATACCACGTAGTTGAAGCAACATGGTAGAAAAATCATAACCACTACACCCAACTAACAAAAAAACTTAACTTTTTCCAAAGTGATAGTACTATCAAATTTTTGTCTGCATGAAACTGGCTAAAAAGAGGAAGTTATCTTGTTACCAGACATGTATTTTCTGGAGATTCATTACTCTCATGACATTCAGAATCAAATGTATTTGCTGTTGTTTTTCCTAGTTTTCTTTTGCTATAACCACTGAACAAACACTGAACAAAAACACCTACAAGTAGTGCATAAGTAGTAATTTACTCTCATTCATTCAAGGTAATTATGATCTGCATTATTGCTTACTGGGGGTGATGTTAAAGTAAATGTACACAGGTATACTCAAATCACTAGTTACTAGATCAATTTTTTGTTATATGATCCTTCTATTTTGCCTCACTGACATTTTATTTAAAAAAGCCTCAAGTTCTTCTAACCAAAGAGCCCAGACAACCGTCAGAACATTGAAACCTCTAACATCGTAATACTATTAATATTATATATACTATTGTACAATACTATTTATTAGTTATTACTGTCTTGTTACTATCTCACTGTCTTTCTACACAAGGAAGAGAATCAGCTCTGGAAATATCTAACTCAAGAATTCTGCCTGGGGAAAATTTGATGTTCTGCATAGAATGGATTTGAAAAGGTCTAATTCACAAACAAAAACAACCATTGTGGCAGCACAAGATTCCCCACAGAAATGCTTAGCTCTTGCAGTTGTCTTCATACTTCAAAGTATTCCAGTATTTCAAATATCCTCAGTTTGCCAATGTTACAATGTTACAAATTATCAAAAGTAAGATGAAACATGATTTCAGCAGCAGTATCACTGTCAGCACTGTTTCTCCTTTGTGGTGTAAGGGCTTACTTAGCTTGATTAAAAGTAACAAAGCTCAGCTGAAGCAATGTTTTTACACAAACTGAACAGCTACAGCACAATTTTCCATCAGAATAACAGTCAGATTTCAGACATTACTTGTGTAAATAAAGCACACACTCCTCTGTTACTTTTCTAGGTCACTGACTTTATTTCTATCATACCAAATAATTACTGATGTAAAAAATATAGCTCTCCTATGGTACATACCTATTCTATATTCAGGCTTGCATGAAGGACTTCCTGACCTGGCATTTAAGCAATGTTTCATAAATACGTATACACAATAGCTTTATGAATGGAAGACATAGAAGTTACTTGAAATGTCATCTAATTAGAATGTAGACTCCTTTTAAAAATACGCGCAGATAATAAAACCTCAAACAAACAAACAAACAACAACAACAACAAAAAGGAATCAAGTTACTTAATCTCCTCCTGTACATATTTGAAAATTATATATATACTACACAATCCAATGAAATATTTGATTTTTCCATTCTGTACTCAAGGAATAAAATGTACATTGTAAGTTTTATAACTGCAACTAATACAGGAAAAACTATATTGCATACTGAATGAATTTTTCTAGACAGGCTAATGGAATACGAACTTCCAGTCAAATCAGCCACTCTAATTTTTATAAATGAGCCAAGCTTGTAATGTTTCATTTATAATTACGGATTGAAAACTATTGTTTAAATGTCTAAACAAAATCAGATTGTAGGAAAATATAAATTTCAGTGACTGCATGAAGTTGACTCTTAACCCCACTTGCATTGATAAACACTATAGCAGAATGTCAGTGGCAGCAAAAACTTTGATGGGTGATGCCTCCATAAAGTAGTGCAATAGGAGAAACCAAAATTTATACGCAGTAACTAACATTTACCTAAAATTTTGATCTGTTATCAAATATGAAACAATGATTTGCTTTAATTTCTTGTCAGAATAATTATGGAGTATGTCTCCATAATCATAAAACTGTTGACTGTATGATATGTGTTTGTAAGGACTATAATGATCTTTTTCCACTGTCTGCAAAGACAACAGTGCAAAGTATATAAAATTTATCCTACCAACATTTGCTGAAATACCCTGCAATTTTATTTCAGGTTCTTCTCATTTCTTATAGAAAGTATCAATTCAGCGAAGTAGATATAAACAGTTTCTGGGATGCATTATTTAGGTTTGCTCAAATAATAAAAGAATACTATAGAGGCCTGTCTTAACTACAAACCAAAGCTGGCTCTATTCTTAGTGAAATATATATCATCAAATGAGATTAAATTTTTGCTGAGACATCACAAAGCTTTTAAATGTTGCCAGTAATACATTTTCTCACTGAATCATGCATGTTAGGTCATCATGTAGTTACCATGGGTTTTTATGGCATTTATATTATGCTTCTGAAACTGGACACTCAAATTGCAGAAAAAGACGCATGACAAAAAGCAAGTTGTATCACCTTAACATAACAGCAAAACAAAGTCGGAAGTAATGAAGAAAAATAAACAAATAACAAATAACAACAACAAAAAAGCCCATTGTACTTTGTTAGCTACAAAAACATCTGTGTTTTACATAAATACATAATATACCACTTACAGTTTTATTGTTTCATGGACAATAATTTCAAATCAATCGAATTAGTTCTTCCTCTCCCACTCCTTCCTCCAAAAAAAAATTAACTTAGCTAATGGAGCCTCAAATGAATTCGTTCTTCCATTGATTCTGAAGAGCCATGTACCTATCCAGAATATTATGCTTGCTTCCTTGCCAGTTGGCATCGGCAGGGGATTTTCCATGTTGTCATGCTGTCTATCTCACTTTATGTCCTTATGGTTACATGAGAACTGGAACTGTGGCTCATACATAGCATAAATCTCAATGTAAATCAAGTGGAGGCTTTTGAATAAGTGGTTCAGTAGCTTTCAGCAACTCATCTTCAAGTGACATTTCAGGAAAGATGCAATTTTCTCTGTTTAATGCAGTGGAAGAGTTGGACTGTTAACTGATCTATTACCCAGATCCTAATTGAGCTACATTTGGCAATTGGACTTTATAACAAATTATTAGTAGTAAATTTGTGTGACAGTCAAGTCCAGAAATGAGACAAAATGTTAACAATTTCCAGAAGATAATTTACATTTTCACATTTTTTAATGTTAAAAGTTCTTTGACCACTGTCAAGAACATTGACAGGCCTTATTTTCACTAGGGGGAAGGCTTCTGTTGTCAATCATTAATGCTCATGAAATTCGTGGATACTTAGTTTATAAAGCGCTCTTCCATCTGGGTTGTAATTGACATAGAAAACATTATTTTCTATTTTCTTCTCAATATAGCTTCTTGTAGCATAATAGGACTGATGTCTTCCCTGTTCTTGAGTGCTTAGACTTTAATTATAAAAATAATAAATATCTTTTTATTATTATTATTTTTTTAAAAAAGTTGCATACTAGTAATGGTTGCCTCTCTTTCATCACTGTTTCTGAACCTGTGAAACTATGTTATGCAGCAGCCCCTCAATATTAATATTTTATCAGTACTCAATAAAGAGGCTTAACTGTGACGAATGTACTCTATCTGTAGACTATGTCACGTCAAATTCTTCTTAGGTCCATTAGTTTAAGGCTTGAAGAGCTATTTATGTCAAGAGAATTAAAATAGTTTAGACTCACGGAAAAGCTGAGAAGATTAAAATAAAAATATGCAGCAAAATTATAATGTTCCTCCAGTGGGGAAAAAAAAAAAAAGGCTGAAGCTAAACTTCCCATGACTCAGCCCAGATGTCTAACCATATTTTGTTCTTTGGGGAGTAAAGGAAGGATTAATTTTTCCCTCCTCACCTTAAACCTTCAGAATAAATTGTAAATACTTAAAATGTCTTTCCAGTTTAACCATAATCAAAATTGTACAGTATTTATTAAAATAAATAAATATTTGTTCAGTTGGAGATTTACTGAGTGTCTGGAGGAGCATTTTAAGAAGAAAAAAGCACTAACTACCACAGAAGGAAAATAAAGGAGAGAGTGTAAAAAATTCAGCTTGACTTTATGGCCGGAAAAACTGTAGAATTTTATTTCAGTACAGTTTACCACTGAATTGCCCTGAATCTCCTTGTGAGGAGAGAGAGACATGTTTTCTAAATGTCTTTATCCTTCTCTACTGCATTCTTACTGTTATTACAGGACCTTACTGGCACTCCTCTATGTATTAGAAAGCAGTCAAAGAGTGATATATGATACTTTCAACCCTGTTACTGAAGATGCCATTTCTGCAAGGCTTCTCACTGAACATCTGCCGAGGAAACAAGACTTTATATCTTTTGCACAAACCCTAACATTTACAAATAACAAAGACTGCTAAAACAATTTCTGCAGCTCAAAGTTTACCACCATTTCTTATTTTGTGACTGGTAATTAATGTAGATGCAGGAGAGATCATGGAGAAATACAATTGTATTTTAATTATAACGTATGAATTAAACTTGATTAGAAGCTCTTGAGAGCACTGAAGTGACCACATTTGCCATTTATTTCTAAAGGGTGATATTAAAATAAAATCAATCATTTATTAACACTGAACAGATTTCTTCAGCATCCTATATGATACCAACCAATCTGTATACCAAGAAGTTCCTAATGTACCCCTTAAAATGCAAAACACATTGTAGAAATAAAAATGTACACCAGTTTTATGAGAAGACAGCAACTGACTACCCTTTCTCTACTTAGGGGCTTTTTTACAAGGATGTGAAAGACCAGGAAGCCGACTGTGGGTCCATTTCCAGAAGTTTTGCATCGAGTCATTGACTGGGTTTGTTAATATATAAGTGAATCACATACAATAATGTTGCACTCCATGCAAATTTGAGAGAGTATTTTCAAGGGACTTGGCATTGTAATACTACTTCCATTCAGAATTTCCCTCATTTTTTACAGTATTATGATAAGATCTACTTCTACTACTCATTGTTCGTCATCCCCAGCAATAAGCATATAACAGGTTTTTCAAGCCACCTGGGAAACAAATTAAAAAACATAGCAAAATTAAGTGAATTTGAGAAGGGGGAAGATTAACACTATTCACAATTATACATGTCAAAGTTGTCCATGAGGGATTAGCTGTCTCTAAGAACAACAAGCTTCCTCCAGGAGACATTTGATAATGATGCTGCAGGACATTATTTCTCTGTTAATATTCTCAAACTTTATTCCTATCAAGTTACTACAACAACTTCTTTTAATTGTTCATTCTTCTGCAGACTAAGAGGCATTTCGTAATCACCTTTCAAGACATGCTAGAGAAGCAAGTATGCACAAGACGAGAACATGTTTCTGTGAGGTTCCTGCTGCAGTCTTTATTTTGAAATCCCAGTATTTTTTTGTGATTATATTAAGCAGAAAGAAAGAAATGTTAAATTGTCACATATTTCTGGCCAAAAAACGGTATGTATTCTCTCTATATATACAAAATGGAAAATGATTGCAAATATTTACAAATCACTGCCTTAAATGAACAATTAGAAATATATATATCCTTTGTTACATAGCCACTTCATGTAAGGATATTCAGTTCTGTAAAATGATAGTAACTTGAGGCAAACTTGAATTTAATGAGTTGGTTTTTTTCTCAATGAAAATGAGACAAGTCTTTAAGAATCAGGTCTGTTTCCAGCTTGACTCAAGTTAATACAGCGCCAAATGTGACCATGTGATTCATTTGGCATAAGTTTGGCATTTGGCATACCAAAGAATTGCTGTGTGCTAGTCTATCTTTCTATGTGGAAGAAACTCGTGACTGGAAAATTCAGTTTTCAATAGCTTGTAAAATGAATGCTTTGGACTGCTGCATGGTTGTATTCCTCTTCCTCTTATATGACTGAAGAAATGAGAACAATCTTGCAAACATAAAGTACTTCCCTTTGCAATTAAATGTCTGTTTTTTTTTTGTTTGTTTTAGCTTTTGTTTTGTTTTATCTTGCTGTCCAATGCTCTAAAGCAAGAGATGGTCTCTGCTTTACTTTTCCTTTCCTACTCTCTAGTCTCTCTTTACTTCTACCTGTGAACAGATTATTTTCCTTTTAGTGAAATATATTGCCTCTTACAAAGCTGCCACTAATGTGTCTTTATAAGGCTACAAGCAGTGGGTGTAGTAGCATTCTCTCCTCAAGGATCAATCAGTGAAGCTGTATAAAGAGCCCAGTCTTTCCACCCTGGAGGCTTGATCATAAACATACCTCTGAGCACAGCTCCCTCGCAAGGCATTTCCTGAGCCTACTGCTATTGCATTGCCTTTTTCAAGGCTCTTTAAATTCCAAAACTGAGGGATGTTTAATCGACTCACCTCCCCTTAGGGCAGCCCTAAAATCTGCTGTGCTTTATTGCTTTTCAATGCAATAATGCATGTGCCAGTGGAATAAAACGATTTTTCCAATTCTGCCAGCATTTTAGGCAGTCTCTTCCCTAAACCGTAAATGACTAAAAAATCATTCATGTCAACTACTTTACTAGAAAAGAATTTACAAAAGATGACACATCAGATTGGGGCTGGTAAGGAATTTTTTCTCCTCCCAAAAAACACTTAAGAGAAACAGGAGGAACATACTTCAGTAAGGTAAATGTTGGATGTATTATTTCGGTACGGTTTGCTTTTCAAGCAAAGTAACTTCTTCTAAAATCATCGATAATTCTTACTGTGTTTTAAATGGAATCACCACAACTTCAAGTCTTAGGACCTGATAAGTTTCTCTCAATACTTCTGTTACATTTCTAAAATTTGTCATAGTATAGAGTTGTTTGGAAGAGACTTTTAATCTCTTTTCAATACAATTTGTGCACAAGATCATATGCTGCCTGCCTTACATATTTCATAATTGCAAACGGCATGCAAAATTAATCTAATTTTTCTGCATGTGAAAATGCCCACACTTGGTCTTTTGTTACTGGAAACCATGAAATGAATGGGCCATTGAAGTGTGCTAACTGTTTTGTTTCGCAATGAGGATAAAGGAATTTGGGGTAAAGATTTTCCACTGTGAAACATTTTGTGAATTCTTGTCCGTTTGGACTAGGCTTCTCCAGTTTCACACTGTACTCTTGGCCTTTACTTTAGTTAACCCTGAAACATTTTCTTTAGAATCCCATGCTCAAATGTATTCAGCAGTGGCAGCTGACTACATGCTATCATAAAATACAGCAGAACAAGATGAAAATAAAAAAGTCAAGGAGAAGCAGAAAGATTTTTGCTCCCCATCTGAAGATGGAATGCTATTTGGGTATTCTGGTCACCCTACTTTGCGTGTCATAAAGTTTTTCCATTTCTATTTTATTCTTCCTGAAACAGAAAAGTCAAGAGCAGTTCAGTACCAGTTACTTACTCAATCGTGTTCCTGTCCACTTTTCCTGTCATATTAATGCCATAGAACTGCTGCATGGCAGCTATAGCTGATTGCATGGTTTCTGCAGAGCGCAACACCGACATTCTGGGGTCAGTTGGTGGAAGGTAGCCATACTTTTGTAACCATACCTGCAATGACAAGTTCAGTGGCTATTAAATAGAAATTAGAGGTAAGTAAAATGCTCCCCAGTAATTAGTTATGTATGCTATATAATGAAATTTCTAATTCATCAAGCATAAAACCTGTTAGTTTGTTGGAGGCATTTTTGCAGAGAAGAAATTATTTATAGCTTTTATTTCTTCTCCTTTAATAAAGATTCTGTTCTTTCAAGACTTACAGTGTTTTGTACCCAGGAGTCAACTCTCTTTATTATCTGAAACTACCTGCTTCAAATATTTTTAATGTATTTATTTATTTGAAGTTACAGCTTAAGCACCTATTCCCGGCTGTATGCACTTCAAAGAATTTTAAAGCAGGGGAAATACAAAATCTACAATATATGTCACAAAGGGTACATAATAATATTCATCAACTATGATAAATTCACAATAGCTCTCACACACTTACACTGCTTCTCTATCTTCTCTCAAAGAACACAAAAAGAGAGAGAGGAGAGATTCAGTTTTCCAGGAACGTAAAAATTGCATTCTCATAAGCAAAGCAAGTGGTTGGGAGACAGGGAAGCAGCAGTCTGTGCACTTACTCCCAGGAATCTCCCTGGTAAGAGGATCCTCCTCTTCAGATCAAGACAGATTTAGTGCCAACTGTTTATGCTCTTAATTGTGTAGAAGTGAGAGGAAGAGGACATGGTCCAAATAACTGAAAGCATTATGGATTAAAGCCAATATCTTAAGTACACCTGGAAAACTCTCAGAAACATGCTGTCCCCTTGAGGCAATGTTTCACAAACAAGTAGCTGCAGTTATCCTAATGTTTCTAAGTATTCTAAAAATCTAGCCTATACAAAAGACAGCGTAAGACTTCTGAGACGATGAGAGTAATGATATATCTTTGAAAATGTCTTAGCTTTCCATCCAAGGATTGGAACACCTCCCTGTAGTGAAAAGCATACATATATTGTCACTGTATGAGCTACAGTTAGATTGCACTCCTTTCTTTTCACTGCCCACAGTAACAAATCACCTGCAATCCCGTAAGTCTGATTTTCTATTCTTAAAAAAAATAATAATAATAAATAGAAAGAAAATTATACTCAGTCACCTCTCTCAAATGTGTCATACCCTAGTTCACAGATCCAGAATCATTAAAAAACTGCATCTATCTAAACTCTCCCTTTATGGTGCACTGTGAGCTATGTGAGCCTCATACACACAGTTGACACACAATCTGACACGCCAAATATTGCATTTTACAGTTTTCAACCTTATGTTTAGCTGGAAGAGTCCAGTCCAGATAGCCATATTTGTTTGGCACTCCCATTTTACACAGCTAAAAAGAATAAGCTTCCCACAGAAGTACCTCTAGTAGGTCAAGTGGATCAATTTATTGTTATAGTTAACTTTATCGTGCAGTGAAAACATATTAGAGGTAAACACTGGGAAGGATCAGACTAGCACTAGATATAGGGAAAATCTTCAGGTTATGAGCTCAGCACACAGTACATACAAAAATCTCAAAAATGTCATGTGGTTCAGACAACAGAAGAATGAAATACAGACAGGATTAAGATTTAGTCTAACCACTCTCACCCTCACCTTATCTCTAAATACAAGAGCCATTCAGAAATGAGAAAAAAAGCATATTCAACAGACAGGATGATGCTCTTATTTCCAGTTAAACCGAATTGCTACAATCTGTACTACATTCAACTTTGCATACACTTGACTTGCGCTTTTCCACTTTGAGGATGAACTTGTGAACTTTAAGTCTGTATTATTTTGTGACATCACTCAGATCATTTAGCTTATCTCTCATTTCCTGTAGGAAGTCTGCTTTTCCTTCCATTATTGGAGGATGCTCTGAAAGGACAGTTAGAGGTGGAAGGCTGGCAAGAACAATTTGATATGTAGAAACAAGACATTGGAAGCAACAGATCAGTTTGACTTAGAGAGTGTGCTTTCAGGGTAACATGTAGAATTCTTTTGAATTAATATTTACAAAGAGTACATTTAAAACTGGGGTTATCTTGAGACTCATCAAGTCAGTGCAGAAAAGTCAAGAGGAAGAATGTCAGCGTGATATTAAAACAAATCATGAGTTACGGAAGAAAAGTAATTCTGAACAGCATATTACTGCTGTCTAAAACAGTGCCACCTTCTCAGCATGAATTTGGTGTACAGACACTCAGCAACACTCCATGACGTTCTTTTTAAATGCTAAGGGCACAGAAAACTGCTTGGTAAGCTTGAGAGGCCCTTCACAACTCAGAAACATCCCCACTGAAGGAGACGGGGATATAGGGTTATAAATTAGCAAGTTTACTGGTAGCTAAAGCTTTGGATATCTAAATTATAAAAGTTGTAAGGAGAGTGAGCGACAAAAGAGCTTGAGGGAGTATTGCTCATGGCAGAAAAGGAAAAGACTGGATGAAGTACAATTTAGCACAGTGCTGCTGCAGACACAGGGAAAAATTAAAAAAGAGACAGCAAGAATGGACACTATAGCCTATTTCCTCCTTATAATACAGGATCACTGATAATCTCTCCTTAACACTGAGTAAAACGAGCAAACTGCCTCTGTGTTCAAAATAGCAAATAGAAGTCTACATATTCAAACATTTGAGGACACTCTGAAAGCAAGTTCGTTTTTTTCCGAAAATTCAGAGAAATTGGACTAAAAAGGCTAGTAACTGGTAAATACTTGGAGATCAAGTCCTGATACTATTAAAAGCTACAAGTGTTCTGTATTACTGTGCATCATGAAATGAAACAAAAGACAACAAATTTGATTCCTGTGTTATTCCTCAGACTCTCCAGACTTCTACTACCAGATTTTGAAGGTCCTTGGCTCAGTCTGCCAAATAAACGAAAAATGCTTCTAAGAGCTGTGCACAGTGCAAATGATGGGAACTATGAACGAGAAACTTAAGTCCAAAATATAGAGGAGGAGAAAATGACAAAGAGGAGAAGAACAAGAATGAGGCAGCCACAGTAGGAGAATAAGTTAAAATAATTTTCTCACATCCTTGTAATTTTGAGGCAACCTATTTAAGAAACTATGGCCACAAGAATTTCCCATTCCCTCACTAATGTAATTAAATGTCTCTCTGCATTAACACACTTCAGTAATGATAGCACAGTGCCAGCTATTCATCTGTCACTCTGAGAAACTAAATTGTCTTGGTAAAAGGAAGTAGTGAAGTAGATCCATCTAAAATAGATGCTAGAAGGAAATTTTTTACTCAAATGATGATGAGGCACTGAAAAAACTTGCCTAGAGAAGCTGTGGATAACTTATCAGGCCAGTGTGAAGGGGGCCCTGGACAGCCTGTGCCAGAGGGTGGCAACAATGCCAACAGCAAGGATTTGAAACTGGATGATCTTTAAGATCCCTTCCAACCCAAACCATCCTATAATTATGTTAACATAAAATCCAGGATGTCAACAGACACTTCACACAGACTCCAGAATCAGTGTTAACTCCCATTCTTTTATGTTGTTTAGGAAGATTAAATACTGCTACTTCGAGTAGAGCTTTTGGAAAAGACTTTTCTGCCCTGCAACAATCTGACAGTCAAGTAGCCTCCCTCTTATGGTAAGCACAGAAAAAACATAGCTGCAAGACAACAAGCTCTATCACTTCCCTCTCCATTATAGTGCTTCCCCATCCTACTGCTGTGAGGTTTGCTTCAGAGTTGAACCTCTATTGTTGCAAAATTGTTGAGAAGCCCGTAGCTTCTCGTTTTACCTGCTACAGGTGAAGGGAACTGATTATTCTTCTCCACTCTGCAGCAGCCTTTTATGTATTTGAACTCTCTTACGTGAGTCACTCCAATCTTTTTAAAATAAAGATAACCCATCTGTTTAATCTCAGAGACTTTTCATTATTCACACTAACCTGTAGCAAATTAGAAGCTAAAATTTCTCTTTACTAAACATCTGCTTGCCCTAGATTTGTATGTTAGTTTCCACTGCTGGCCTGTTCACAAACACTGGAATTTAAATGAACAGTGTTAGGTTCAGAAGAAACTGAATACTCAAACATATTGTTTTGGATGAATTAATGGAAACAAAATTAGCTTAAAACTACACATTTTGTTCTCATTTCTTGAAACTCATGTTTATGTCTCTTTTTTTTTTTTTTTTTTTTTTTTTCAGACATTTTAAAATGATAAAACCATGCTTTTCACCATGATCTTCTTCATTAGAAAAATTCCCTCACACAATTTCAGCTTCTTATTTCATAACTGTAGGGAAAAAAAATTAAGCAAAAATCAGAGGTGAGGAAACCTAGAGAGATGCTAGGAGTTTGTAAGAGATACGCACGTTCTGAAGCAGTCTACAGAACCCATGTGTTCAGCATGTGTTGTATCACCTTCCAGATTTTGGATGTCATTGCCAATATGCTTAGGCTACTTCATTTGTTTGTTTGTTGATGTGTGTATTTCCAGCCATGACAGAAAGATCTTTTTTATATTCACTTGAATCTGATACGAATGCTGGGTTATATCCACCATCTGGCTACAGAATAGATACAATTTCGCCACTTGTATGTATGCTTGTTTCCTCTAAAAGATAAAGCATGGGTTAACTTAAAGTGTATGAAATACACCAATGAATTTCAGCCATTCAAGTCTTTACTAGTTAAGGAAAGAAGAGTGCTCTTTAAAGCAGTATGTTGACACTAAAGTGTTACTGAGAACAAAGAAATCTCATATATAATAATTAAAGATGAAGCAAGATTATTATGATGATAATCAGAGTATCTGAGAACTCAGTAATTTCTATGATAGAAGAGAATTTATCAATGTGTCATTAGTGTTACTAAATGACAGTGCATAGCATAAACTCCAGTGTACTTATGTTCTAAAAACCTGAAAGCTTAATAAATCAAACAAGCATTCCACAAACATCTTCAGTAGTGCAGTTGCATATCCTTGTTATTCATGTATTCCTGCTCCTTTCTCAGATTTTATCATAAAAAACCAAATTATTATAGATATTGGGTA